ATAGACAAGCTTCACAAAGTCTGTTGTAACCCTTCCAACACACACTGGTTTTCACAGCTGGAGTCCAGTCAATGGCTCAACCACTGCAGCTCCGTGCTTAGAGTAAGTCACACGATAATTGTGGTGTTGGCGTGCACGTGTGTGTGTGCGTGCGTGTGTACGTGCGCGTGTGTGTGGGGTGTGTTTGTGTGTATCCCGGCACAGGTTGCTACGTCTAACATAGCTGTTTGCTATCATCGCTTCCACGATGGGCAGGTCTGAGGTGTGTGTGTGTGTGTGTGTGTGTGTGTGTGCACGTGTGTGTGTGTGTGTTTGGGGGGGGGGGGGGGGTGCATGCGTGTGTTTGTGTTTATGCGGGAGGTGAAAGAAGCGGTAATTGTTTTATGAATGAACCCGTGTTGCCACACCTGCCGAAATGTTAGTAACCTGCTGATTTTGGAAGCATGTCACGACATGCCGACAGCGGCCATGATAATGTCCAATGTTACCATTCTGCTTGGTTTAGAAGTCATAATCCCGATTTCTTTTATTAAACTGGTCACCATGAATGTTCCCATAGCTCTCTCCTGCCCTGCTAAGCAAGATCATCATCAGTCTTGGGAAAAATCCGAAACTCAGTCCGAGTCTCACTTAGAACCGCGAACATTTCGGCGCCTGTGTGTGCGTGTGTGCGCGTGTGTTTCTGTGTTTGTGTGTGTATACTGGGGTTACTATGATGGGGGGGGGGGGGGGGGGGGAGCCCCCAGATGATACATTTTCTTTTCGTATCCTACTGATATTTGGCTAGAATGGTGTGGTAGCACTGATAAAGCAAAGTGATTGCGACTGTGACTAGTTCTTATAGGGAGCGTCTGGTAAAATATCATGTCATGTCACTGTTCTGAGTATCATTATTTCCGAAGCTATGCAAAGGATGTAAAGAAAAGAAGAAGAAAAAAGAGAGTAGAAAACACATGAGAAAGAGTTCTGTGGCAACCACCTTCTCTTTTTTAAATTTATTACTGGCTCAGTATCCGAGGTAAAACTAAGCAAAATATGTTACTTTTTTTTAGCTGTTGTTCTTTCACGTCTTTATTCTCACGTTGTTGCTGTTGCTCTTGGTCGCTGCTGCTGCTGCTGTTGTCCTTTTTCTTGTTCTTGTTGTTGTTCTTGCTGACTGTTGTTTGCATAGGGTTGTTACGTGATAGCAAGGCATGTTGAAGACCGCGGTGTAATGGCAATGATCCACTGCAGCGATGGATGGGATAGAACCTCGCAACTCAGCTCTCTTGCCCAGCTTCTCCTAGACTCCTTCTATCGCACGTTTGATGGATTCAAGGTACAGCGAACAGAATTGATAGGTGTTTACACTCTCTCTTTCCCTCAAACCAGTTAATGTTTACACATGGTTAGCACTTTACACTACACTACTGCACGGCGCCGAAGAACGGAGGGGGGGGGGGGGGGTCAGGGTTCTAGCCTAGCCCGTTCTTATCTTTCGCGAACACAGCAGTTTCGTTCTTATCCGATGGTAAAGTCTCCGTTCTCCGCCGCTCCGTTCTTCACCGCTCCGTTCTCCGTTCTTCACCGCTCCGTTCTCCGTTCTTCACCGCTCCGTTCTCCACCGCTCTGTTCTTCACCGCTCTGTTCTCCACCGCTCCGTTCTTCACCGCTCTGTTCTCCACCGCTCTGTTCTTCACCGCTCTGTTCTTCACCGCTCCGTTCTCCGTTCTTCACCTCTCCGTTCTTCACCGCTCTGTTCTCCACCGATCTGTTCTTCACCGCTCCGTTCTCCGTTCTTCACCGCTCTGTTCTCCACCGCTCCGTTCTCCGTTCTTCACAGCTCTGTTCTCCACCGCTCTGTTCTCCACCGCTCCGTTCTCCGTTCTTCACAGCTCTGTTCTCCACCGCTCTGTTCTCCACCGCTCTGTTCTCCACCGCTCTGTTCCTCAACGCTCCGTTCTTCACCGCTCTGTTCTCCACCGCTCTGTTCCTCACCGCTCTGTTCTTCACCGCTCCGTTCTTCACCGCTCCGTTCTTCACCGCTCCGTTCTTCACCGCTCCGTTCTTCACCGCTCCGTTCTTCACCGCTCTGTTCTTCACCGCTCTGTTCTTCACTTCTCCGTTCTTCGTTCTCCGCCGCTCCACAGTACTGTACACGCTAAATCTAACGGTACTCGTACCCAGCACCCAGCATACTGTCGGTTTGGTATCGTTTCGGCGATAGGAGGCCCTGTTTACAGGGAGAACGGAACGATAAGATTCCAACTAGGGTGACATCACAAGCCCATCGTTGTGTCAGAAACCGAAATGCAAACCATGTCTTGAAAACACTCAAAAAACGGTACAGGCCGATGGTCGGAGTTAGTGTGAACTGTAAAATGCTAACCATGTCTATTGTAAGTCACTGTCCAGAAAACAGCAGTGTATTGGCATTCATAGGTATTGTCACTGTCCAGAAAACAGCAGTGTATCGGCATTCATAGGTATTGTCACTGTCCAGAAAACAGCAGTGTATCGG